GCTACGAAACGCTGCCCTGGGTGGGGGAACCGCATGCGAACACCCCCACTGGGGCCTTCGGTGGAGCTCCCTATGGGGCCACGAAACGCTGCCCTGGGTGGGGAAACCGCATGCGAACACCCCCACTGGGGCCTTCGGTGGAGCTCCCTATGGGGCCACGAAACGCTGCCCTGGGGGGGGAACCGCATGCGAACACCCCCACTGGGGCCTTCGGTGGAGCTCCCTATGGGGCTACGAAACGCTGCCCTGGGTGGGGGAACCGCATGCGAACACCCCCACTGGGCCTTCGGTGGAGCTCCCTATGGGGCCACGAAACGCTGCCCTGGGTGGGGGAACCGCATGCGAACACCCCCACTGGGGCCTTCGGTGAGCTCCCTATGGGGCTACGAAACGCTGCCCTGGGTGGGGGAACCGCATGCGAACACCCCCACTGGGGCCTTCGGTGGAGCTCCCTATGGGGCCACGAAACGCTGCCCTGGGTGGGGGAACAGCAAGCGAACACCCCCACTGGGGCCTTCGGTGGAGCTCCCTATGGGCCACGATAACACGTCATTTGGGCCTGGGTGGGGGAACCGCATGCGAAAACACCCCCTGGGGGGCCTTCGGTGGAGATCCCTATGGGGCTACGAAACGCCGCCCTGGGTAGGGAAACCGCAATGCGAACACCCCCACTGGGGCCTTCGGTGGAGACTCCCATTGGGGGCCACGAAAACGTTTTTTGCCATGGTGGGGGAACCCGCATTGAGAACACACCACTGGGGCCCTCGGTGAGCTCCCTATGGGCTAGAAACCGCTGCCCGGGCGGGGGAAACCGATGCGAACACCCCCCACTGGGGGCCTTCCGTGGAGACTCCTATGGGGCCACGAAACGCTGCCCTGGGTGGGGGAACCGCATGCGAACACCCCACTGGGGCCTTCGGTGCAGCTCCCTATGGGGCTACGAAACGCTGCCCTGGGTGGGGGAACCGCATGCGAACACCCCCACTGGGGCCTTCGGTGGAGCTCCCTATGGGGCCACGAAACGCTGCCCTGGGTGGGGAACCGCATGCGAACACCCCCACTGGGGCCTTCGGTGGAGCTCCCTATGGGGCTACGAAACGCTGCCCTGGGCGAGGGAACCGCATGCGAACACCCCCACTGGGGCCTTCGGTGGAGCTCCCTATGGGGCCACGAAACGCTGCCCTGGGTGGGGGAACCGCATGCGAACACCCCCACTGGGGCCTTCGGTGGAGCTCCCTATGGGGCGACGAAACGCTGCCCTGGGTGGGGGAACCGCATGCGAACACCCCCACTGGGGCCTTCGGTGGAGCTCCCTATGGGGCCACGAAACGCTGCCCTGGGTGGGGGAACCGCATGCGAACACCCCCACTGGGGCCTTCGGTGGAGCTCCCTATGGGGCCACGAAACGCTGCCCTGGGTGGGGGAACCGCATGCGAACACCCCCACTGGGGCCTTCGGTGGAGCTCCATATGGGGCTACGAAACGCGTGAGAGGTGTGCCGAGAGCAGAGGCAAGGAGGGGGAGGAGGGAGGAGGGGGAGGAGGAAGGAGGAGGGGAACGCGGGGCACCGTCTCTTCAAAACGAGGACCCAACACCACAGGATGGTTGGGAATAACTTCATGATACGGGTTGACTGTATCGAGCAGCAGAGTGGAGCATCCTAGGAAAAGGTAGACGCACGACATCGAAACAAATGCAGGGGGAGTGGACGTCCGAGCGAGGGCGAGGACGTGGGCCCTTTCTCGGGGACCGGCTTCTCATCCTGAGTACACTCTGGTAGTTGAAAGTAGGTATTTACGGGCTCCCAGATCCCAATCTACTTCAAGCGCTTGCCTACGTCAAGACTCGATATGCTTTCACTGTGTCTTGTTGTTCTCTGGGAGGGCCTGAGCCCAATCTATTTTATCCCTCATTCCTGCCTCATGTGTTGTGTACCTACTTCTTCCGACCGACGTGTAGTTTGTTGACGGCCCTGAGGTTCTGGAAGGGCCCCCAGAGGCCAAACATGGCCAAAAACCTCCCGTCGCTATTTTTGCCACGACGCAACCTGGAGATCTCGGATGATGGCTCCGATCCGAAGGGCTGATAGACAAAATCCGGCACCTGTTCAATTGCTCAAATTGGGGAACACCCCCAGTGCCCCCAATTTGATCGAAGACGCCTACGGCGAATCACCGCCGCCCCCTGCCTTTGTGGAAGCGCCTATGTGGCCGAACGTTGAGGCCAGACCTGCCAAGCCATCGGACCATGTGTTCCCCGAATCGGTTTGGAAAGCCTTCGGGGAACACGTGGGCGTCTTGATGGTCATCGTCGCCGTCTTGGAGGCCTCTTGGGCGATCTTTCGGCGATCTTTGGGGGCTCTTGGGCCGTCTCGGGCCGTCGGAAGGCCGAAAGAAGGGAAATGCCCAAATCCATCAAAAACCTTGGGAAAATCAGTGATTTTGGCATCTTTTGGCCTTCCTGGAGGCCCTCTTGGGGGCCTCTTGGGCCCTTTTGGGCCAGCTTCGAGCCAACTTCGGCCATCTTGGTGGGTTCCTGGCACGTCTGACGCCGTCGGGAGCCGTTTTGGGGGCCTGTCTGGGCCAACGGGGGACCCTCTTGGGGCGCTCCAGGGCCGTCTTGGAGGCCATCTTGGGCGTCTTGGAGGCCATCTTGGGCGTGTTGGAGGCCTCTTGGGCCGTCTTGGGGCCCTCTAGGGGCCATCTTGGAGGCCACTTGGGCCATCAGGGGGCTCTCTTGGGGGCCTCTTGGGCGATCTTGGGGGCTTCTTGGGCCGTCTTGAGCCGTCGGAGAGCCGAAAAGGCGCAAATGCCAAAATCCTTCAAAAACCAAGGGAAAATCAATGATTTTGGCCTCTTCGGACTCTCCTGGAGGACCTCTTGGAGGCCTCTTGGGCCGTCTGGGAGGCCTCTGGGGGGCCTCTTGGGCCGTCTTGGGCCGTCTTGGACTCTCTTGGGCCGTTTTGGAGGCCGTCTTGGACCATCTCGGGCGGACTTGGAGGCCATCTTGGGCCATCTTCGCGATTTGTTGAGGATGTCCCGAGCGAAACGGCCGTTTTTGCGCACGGTGGCGGGTTCTGCCGGAGCCCACTGGGGAGTTCTTTTGGAAAAAGAACCAAAACCAAAACCTAACAGCTCGTCCAGCACGCCGTGCACCCCTGCAAGCAGGGGGCGGCGGATAGAATAGCCTCTGGCCCATCCCGCCACCGTGTCTGGGCTGTGGGTATGCGGCCTCTTGGATGTTCGTAGGGATCTCGTCGAGGCCTCGCGGGGGGCCTTGGAGGTAGTTCTGATGCCTCTGGAGGGCTGTTGTGGGGCCTCTTTGGGGCCTCTTGGGGCCTCGTGGAGGCTTCTTGGGAGCTCAGGGGGGCCTGTTGGGGGCTCTTGGGGGCCTCCTGGGGCCTCCTGAGTGCCTTTTGGGCGGAAGGCTCGCATTTTCGTTTCGTGTTCCCTCTCTTGGGCCCCTCTTGGGCCCTCTTGGGCGCCCCTTGGGCCGTGTTGGGGCCATCTTGGGGCCCTCTTGGGGACCTCTGGTGCCGTCTTGTGGCGGTGTCGGGGGCCTCTTGGAACGTCTTGGAGCGGTGGAAGATCGAAAAGTGGAGAACCCCAAAAACCTTGACCCCCTAGGGATACCAATGGTTTTGGCCTCCCGGGGCCTTCTTGGGAAGGCTCCTGGAGGCCTCCTGGGACATCTTGGGCTCTTTTTCTGCCGACTGGAGGCCATCTTGGACGTCTTGGACCGATCGTTCAGCGATTCGGGGCCCTCTTGGACCGCCTTGGGGGCATCTTAGGCCCTCTTGGTCCGTATTGGAGCCCTATTGGTTCCGAAAAGTACAAGTCATGCGACAAGACGCGCCAAGCCTCGGGAGATATGTGAATAGGGGTCCGGGCCCCTACAATAGTTCAGGATTGCGGACTGAGGGTTCAGGGATTAGGCAAAAGACCTGGGGACACTCCACTTCGTGCCATACTGGGGGCCTGCGCCGTGATGTGTCGATCTGTCGACCGGCCGAAGTCCTCTGCGCCCCGCTGGCAATGCCAAGCATTATTGAATAGGGGGGCAGGGGGCGCGCTGTAGCCTGCACCAGAACGGGCAGCTTCCCCCAAGGAGAGTCCTGGCTGGCCATTATACTGACACCCCCGAGGTGCGGTCTCATGATGTCTCAACACCCCCATCTTGGGATGCGGAGCGTCCCAGGGGCGCCGCCAGAGGCGGCGCCAGGGTGTTCAGATTGCCCCGGGCTACCCCCCGGTCGCGCGGGTAACAAATCGGTCACGCGTAAGAGTGACCTTTCGCCGGAGTGATCTTTGTTGCGGGCACACCGGGGTCCTCAGATGGTTGGTTGGACGCGATACGGCAGCGGCGTCTTATGAACTCGGGAGCTGGCCTCCCCGCGGCCCCCGAAGTGGCACATCGAAGGTCACTCTTGCCTGCGCAGGGTCACGCTTGCGTGTAGCGGACCTGAAGATGAGCGGCGCAAGCAAACGGGGTCGTCTGCGCTGGCATGGGCGCGCAAGCTGGCCACGCAAGGTCGCGCGTCGGCGCTCTCGTATCCAATGTCAGCGTGCCGCGCGGGCGGCACGCGTGAGCTTCGACGTAAGATTACTGCTGTGATTTCGCGTAAGACCCGATTTTGATCGTCGCTCACATGTTGTCCACACAGTCGGGGCGCTGAAGAAGGAACCCTTGTCGTTGAGGCGGGGCTCCGTGCTCCTTCATTGTTCCACGGCTTGCCCCAGGTGTTCCTCAGGTCTTCGATGGGACATCGCACCTTCGCTGGTGGGAAAGAGGGGCCTCGCTCCTTATTTAGGGTTCCTTAGGTCAAGGTCCCGATTGTTTTTTATTCCAAATTTTATTTATATATAATATAAATAGATATTAAAAATGTATTTTAAAAATGGCAGTCTCCCCGAAGGCGGGCTACGCTCCGAGGAGAGGGCGCCCCGCCGCGCGCGGCGCGCGGCGCGCGGCGCGGCGCGGCGCCGGCGCGCTCCTCCGAGGTTCTACGCCGTGCGGGGCGCGGCCGCCTCCTGGTCGCCCGGGGCGCCGATCCTCTTCGCGGAGGTGCTGCAGGCCCCGGGGGCGGGCACCGAGCTGGTGGAGCTGCTGTAGACTTGCTCCCAGCCGTCCTGTGGTGTTGGGTCCTCGCTTCGAAGAGACGGCGCCCCGCATGCCTTACTTGTTCCCGCATGCCTTACTTGTTCCCAGCCGTCCCATGCCCGGGGCCCCGATCCTCTTCGCGGAGGTGCTGCAGGCCCCCTGGAGACGGCGGAGCGACGATCGAGGATCGATCTTCGAGATGGGAGGTTCGAGATTCGAGGTTCGGGGTTCGAGGGTCGAGGATCAAGGATCGAGGATCGAGGGTTCAGGTTCGAGGATCGAGGGGCAAGCGAGGAGCGGCACTGGGTTGGTGGAGTCGGGGCGCTGAAGAAGGAACCCTTTTTTCGTTGGGGAGGGGCTCGGTGTTCCCTGATTGTTGCACAGCTTGCATCCGGTGTTCCTTAGGTCTTCGGTGGGGAATCGAAGTTTAACTTATGGAAAAAAAGGGGCATCGTTCTCTATTTAGGGTTCCTTAGGTCGACGCCGTCGACGCCCCGACTGTAGAGCTGTTGTAGATTTGTTCCCAACCGTCCTGTGGTGTCGGGTCCTGTCGCTTCGGAGAGACAGCGCCCCGCGTGCCTTCCTTCCTCCTCCCCCTCCCTCCTCCCATCCCTGCCTCTGCCCTCCGCATGTCCTCGTCGTCATCGTCATCGCCATCATCGACGTCATCATCACCATCGTCATCATCATCATTAGCATCATCAGCATCATCATCAGCATCATCATTGTCATCATCAGAGCTGCGGGCCCCGAGGGGGCACTGAGCTGGCACAGTTTTTGTTACCTAACAGCGAAGACTGATAGGTTTCTACAAGACTCAAAAGAGAGCAGCAGATGACTCCACAGGGGGGTCTGGGCGGGTGCCGGACAGGGTGCCGCAGAATTCATTTTAAGCCAACAGTCACACACTTCGTGCTCTTCGACTTCCCAGAACTCCATTCCCGGGCCACATTCTGAATGCCCGGAGCCAACTGTAGGCCACTTCGTGCTCTTCGATTTCCCAGAACTCCATTCCCGGGCCACATTTTGAATGCCCGGAGCCAACTGTAGGCCACTTCGTGCTCTTCGAGTCCCAGAACTCCATTCCCGGGCCACATTTTGAATGCCCGGAGCCAACTGTAGGCCACTTCGTGCTCTTCGAGTTCCCAGAACTCCATTCCCGGGCCACATTTTGAATGCCCGGAGCCAACTGTAGGCCACTTCGTGCTCTTCGATTCCCAGAACTCCATTCCCGGGCCACATTTTGATGCCCGGAGCCAACTGTAGGCCACTTCGTGCTCTTCAAGTTCCCAGAACTCCATTCCTGGGCATGATTTTGAATGCCCGGAGCCAACTGTAGGCCACTTCGTGTTCTTCTAGTTCCCAGAACTCCATTCCTGGGCCACATTTTGAATGCTGAGGCAGGCTGATGCTGCGGCCGAGGCAGGCTGAGGCTGAGGCAGGCTGAGGCTGAGGCCGAGGCTGAAGGCAGACTGAGGCTGAGGCTGAAGCAGGCTGAGGCTGAGGCTGAGGCAGGCTGAGGCTGAGGCTGAGGCAGGCTGATGCTGAGGCAGGCTGAGGCTGAGGCTGAGGCTGATGCAGGCTGAGGCTGAGGCAGGCTGAGGCTGAGGCCGAGGCTGAAGGCAGACTGAGGCTGAGGCTGAAGCAGGCTGAGGCTGAGGCTGAGGCAGGCTGAGGCTGAGGCAGGCTGAGGCTGAGGCTGAGGCAGGCTGAGGCTGAGGCTGTGACTGCGACTGCCGTTGCCGCTGCGACTGTCATCGCGAATGCGACTACGACTGCGAGAACAGCAGAATTCTACAACTGGATTTTCGTCTGAATCTTAAGGGGAATGCTTTCATATATGCTTCTACACATCGCTGTTAGGTTGCTTTGCCGGGATAATTACCTAACAGCGAAGACTGATAGGTTTCTAATGGGCTAGAAAGAGAGCAGCAGATGACTCCACAGGGGGGTCTGGGCGGGTGCCGGACAGGGTGCCGCAGAAGTCGTTTTAAGCCAACAGTCACACACTTCGTGCTCTTCGACCTCCCAGAACTCCATTCCCGGGCCACATTCTGAATGCCCGGAGCCAACTGTAGGCCACTTCGTGCTCTTCGACTTCCCAGAACTCCATTCCCGGGCCACATTTTGAATGCCCGGAGCCAACTGTAGGCCACTTCGTGCTCTTCGAGTTCCCAGAACTCCATTCCCGGGCCACATTTTGAATGCCCGGAGCCAACTGTAGGCCACTTCGTGCTCTTCGAGTTCCCAGAACTCCATTCCCGGGCCACATTTTGAATGCCCGGAGCCAACTGTAGGCCACTTCGTGCTCTTCGAGTTCCCAGAACTCCATTCCCGGGCCACATTTTGAATGCCCGGAGCCAACTGTAGGCAATTTCGTGCTCTTCGACTTCCCAGAACTCCCTTTCCTGGGCCACATTTTGAATGCTGAGGCAGGCTGATGCTGCGGTCGAGGCAGGCTGGGGCTGAGGCAGGCTGAGGCTGAGGCCGAGGCTGAAGGCAGACTGAGGCTGAGGCTGAAGCAGACTGAGGCTGAGGCTGAGGCAGGCTGAGGCTGAGGCTGAGGCAGGCTGATGCTGAGGCAGGCTGAGGCTGAGGCTGAGGCTGATGCAGGCTGAGGCTGAGGCAGGCTGAGGCTGAGGCCGAGGCTGAAGGCAGACTGAGGCTGAGGCTGAAGCAGGCTGAGGCTGAGGCTGAGGCAGGCTGAGGCTGAGGCAGGCTGAGGCTGAGGCTGAGGCAGGCTGAGGCTGAGGCTGTGACTGCGACTGCCGTTGCCGCTGCGACTGTCATCGCGAATGCGACTACGACTGCGAGAACAGCAGAATTCTACAACTGGATTTTCATCTGAATCTTAAGGGGAATGCTTTCAGATATGCTTCTACACATCGCTGTTAGGTTGCTTTGCCGGGATAATAGGGTTGTTGTACCCCAGTGCCCAGACCCTCTCGCGCCGTGGACACAAGCAGCGGCGGAAGGCTTTTGTTGCCGCTCTCGGCCTCTGGGGGCCCCTTACTGGGCCCCGGGGCCGTCGCAGCCCTGCTCGAGATGGCAAGCCGATCCCTGGGAGGGGGTCCGGACCTCGGGAGGTCGACGTCATGAGAGAACTGCGGCGTCGGGGAGCCCGGGGCCCCAGTCTCGTCCGCAGAGGTGCTGCAGACCCCGAAGGGGGCACCGAATTGGCGAATCGGTACTCGGAGGAGAGGTTCTCCCCCGCTCGTTCTGCTCACTTGGGGCCTGTGCTGCTGCTCTGGTCGTTCTGCGCCCTCTTCGATCCTCCCCCTCCTCCTCCTCTTCCTCCTCCTCCTCCTCCTCCTCCTCCATTCCCTCCTCCTCCTCCTCCTCCTCCTCCTTCTCCTCCATTGCCTTGTCTTATAGATAGTCTCTCCCTGTCGCACCCCGATGCCGGACGAACGGGCGGGCCGGGCGTTGCGCCCGAGGTTTCCTCGCCATTTATGGCCCCGAAGCTTACAGCATCGCAACGGTTTCGCAGATGGATCAAGCAGTGGCGAAGCGTCCTGGCTCGCTTATAGCCCTACCAAACAAGGTTCTAAGAACCTTTTGTGGCTTCCTTGAAATGTGCTTAGAACATTTCTGACGGAGATTGTCTTGTTTTAACACATCGGGTTCATGTTCTAAGAACGTTGTTTTTGTTATTAGAACATTTTTGGGTTCTAAGAACATTTCATGGTAGGACTATAGAAATGCCGGGACGGTCGGTCCCTGCTCAACAGATGGAGGGCTGGTCGTTTTCAAAATATGGATCTCGCCTTAGCGCCGCGCACCTTCGTTTCAGAATATTGCAAGATCTTCACAGATTGAGGGCGGATGGGTTTCAAATTGCGGCTCTCGCGTCAGCGCCGCGCACATTCGCTTTAAGCATTTGCAGGAGCTTCACGAATTGAGGGCGGGTGGCTTTCAAAATGTGGTTCTCGCTTCCGCGCCGCCGCATTCGTTTTAGAATTTTGGACGAGCTTCGCGGATTGAGGTCGGGTGGTGTTCAAAATGCGGTTCTCGCCTTCGCGTCGCGCACCTTCGTCGTAAAAGTTTGCAAGGGCTTCACGGATTGAGGGCGGTTCCTTCTCAAAATGCGGTTCGCGCGTTCACGCCGCGCACATTCGTTTTAGAAACTGCAAGAGTTCCACGGAGTCTCATGGTCAACGTACCAGAAGTAGTGTTTTGGAGAGATTCCGCATTATGAGAGCGCAACAGTTACGTTGACTCGCGGTGCTTAGGCCCAGGAATGGCGTTCTGGCGCGATTCAGGATCGTCAAGACGCAACAGTCAGGTTGATCCGTGGCGTTGGAGTCCCGGGAGTAATGTTTTGGCGCGAGTCAGGCTCTTCACAGGGTTGCCTTCCAACGAGGCAGTTCCCTCAGTGGACATGAACCGCTGTGGGGGCATATGAAGCGGGAGCTTGGAGGGAGGGTTTCTTCCAACATCGTTGATGATTATTGGGTTCACGCTGATCCTCCTCATCCTCGCTCTCTTGCCCCCCCCCTCGCTCTGCCCCCCGTGCCCCCTGCACTCTTGGCGGTGTTGCCTGCTGCTGGCCGTCCGATGTCTTCCCCGTTGGTTCGCATTCCTCCAGTGGTGTATGCACACTTGGCGACGTCTCGTGTGATGTTCCCCGCGGAGGCTCTCGGGCCCCGTCCCCTGTCTTGCCGTTGGCCAAGTAGTGCGTGCCCGAGCCCAGCCCATTAGAGCGCGCGTGCGGATCGCCTCTGCCGCGCCGCGACGGAAAAGGTAACGTTCCTGGCTTACCTGGCGGTCTTCAGTCTCACATCGTGGAGCCACATGCTCGTTGGCACTGCACACACACAGCGCTCAGAGAAGTAAGCCGTACCAATTGGTACGATCGATATGGGTACGAAAACGATGGAGACGAATACCGACGGCAGTTCCAATCCATTTTGAGCAGAACTCGTTGTCGATGTCGCCACGGATGCGGCCCATTGGAATCAGAGAGTCGCCTGCCTAACAGTGGTCGCTTTCGGGTTGGGACCGTAGTTGTTGTTGGGTTCCGTACTCGGATTTTGCTCGATACCCATATTGGGCGTGCCAAACCAAAACCAATGCCCTTCCAACGTTTCCGTATGCTTGGGATTTTTGGGATTTCCGTCACGGCTAGATTCGTTGTTGAGGAGAGGTCCAGGAGTGGCGGTATCGGTATCTGTTTGTTACACCATTGAGGCTTCTGTGGTCCCAGACTCGTATGGCGCAAGCGCGCACGAGTGAGGAAAGGTGCACGCAGCTCAAGACAAGCGTGTGCGACGCGCAAGTCCAGAGGGTACCAAGCTGGTGGAGCGAGCCCCTGAGATGCTCGGAGCACGGTAGGCACCCAGGATACTCCTTGGAGGTTGAACCTGTATTTGTTTGGTGGTTTGGGTGCCAGGTTTGCCCAGTTTGGCCTGACCTGGTTTACTAGTCTTCTGGCCGACTGGCGCTTCAGAAAGGGCCTCTCCCTCTGTTCGTCTCGCCTGCGGCCCGAAGCCGGCGGAAGGCCAGCGGAAGCAAGCGGAAGCAAAGCGGAAGCAAAGCGGCGGCGGGTCGGTTTGGGGGACGCCGGTGGAAGCAAAAGCGAGGTCTCAATGTTACCATCGGCGGCGAGCCCGGAGGGGGAAGTGAGAAGGAGAAGACCCTCTCAGAAGGCTCGGAAGTTCCCTGGCCTTCCGAGAAGTTTTCCAAGCCTTCCCCGGAGACAAAAAAGGCATGTCAGAAGGCGCGAGGTCTTCTGTCAGGAGGAAAAGAAACACGCAGACACAATTAATCCTCGACTCCCCAGAAAATATGGGAAGATATGGGAAGTGGGGGGGAAGACGGAAACCCAGAAAATATAGGAAAACATGAGGAATATTCGTATTTGTGTGAATTTATTTGTGTGTCCTGGGGCCCCTTCATTCTGAGAAGTCCCGCCGCCCTCTCAGAAGGCCTTCTCCTTCTCGTTCCCCCCCTTCGCTCGCTGCCGATCCAGGGCGGAATCTTCTGGGTTCCACGGAGCCGTTGATCGTGCCCTCCCAGAAGCTGCCAGGAGGAGGAGGAGGAGGAGGAGGAGGAGGAGGAGGAGGACCCGGCCCGGCAGGGCCCACCCGCAGAGAGAGGGCCCCCCAGAGGCCGAAGCTGGCCAAGCGCTTCCCACAGCGCACGCCTAGGGGAACAGAAAGTGGCATAGACATGAAGACTCGGAGGTCCGCTGCCAGGGCTTCAGGAGCTACGCGCCACCCGAGGAGGAGCTCTTGGGCAACGAAGAATGACATAAACATAAAAACATGGAGGTCCGCGCGGATTTCTCGGATCGGCGCTGGACCCCCCTCCCTGGCGCGCGGAGGGCGCCAGGGGCGGCGCCGGAGGTGCCGCTGGGGGACCCCAGCGCCGATCCGAGAAATCCGCGCGGACCTCCGAGTTTTCATGTTTATGTCAGTTGTTGTTCCCCTAAATGTCGTGCACGATGCGAGGAGATCCGGGTGTAGCCTCGGCGTCACCCAAGCATACTAATATTGTGTGTGCGTCACCCCCAAAGGTCAGAGTGTGAATTACCTACCCCGGTTTCGCTTCCAGGCAAAACCAAGTCATACCACGCGCCTCCTCGTCAAGCGGCCTGACCAGTACAGGCCGTAGTTTGGCATCGCTTGGTATCTCTTGGAAGCGAGGGTGGTCAAAAGCGAGGTAGGTTTGTTTTCCCCCTAACAGGTGCGAGGCACGCGCTCGGAAATCTCGGAGGACGTGCTCCGTGTGGCGGGCGGTGCCTGGCCATACCGCTCGGGAAACGATCTATGTGTCTGTATAAGACATAATGCGCATATCATAATATGTTTGTGATGTCTGTTCGTCTCGGACGTGCGCCTCCGAGAAGGGCGCGTAGTACTAGCATGTCCTTCTGCGCCCCATAGCCGCCTGAGTCAGACGGCTGGACTTGGAACGGGATGTCCTTGCAGGGGGGAGGCCAGGGCGAGGGGGATCGGGCCAGGGGGCTGGGGGAGGGACGCTCGCGAGGGCGGCGTTGCCCCGCCCTCGCGGGAGCGAGGGCTCGCTCTCCTCCTGACCTCTTCTTCCTCCTCCTCCTCTTCCTCCTCCTCCTCCGCCTCCTCCTCCTCCTCCTCTTCCTCCTCCTCCTCCTCCTCCTCCTCCTCCTCCTCCTCCACCTCCTCCTCCTCCTCCTCCTCCTCCTCCTCCTCCTCCTCCTCCTCCTCCTCCTCCTCCTCCTCCTCCCCCCCCTCTTCCTCCTCGTCCTCCTCCTCCTCCTCCTCCACCCGATTCGGCACACCCCTCGCACGCTCAGTGGCCCCATAGCTCCACCGAAGGCCCCAGTGGCAGCGCCTGCATGGCTCCGCCACACCCGTTTCGGCACACGCCTCACACGGTTAGTGACTCCATAGGGAGTTCCGCCGATGGCCACAGTTGCA